TCATGATCTTTGGCGGCTAGGCACTCGGCTTGTTCCCTCGAGTTATGCTTGTTTTTGAACACACGCCGAGCAGAGTCAACGGTCAGGCAGAGTCATCCAAGCTCCGCGGCATCTCCCCTGACCTTGGCGACCATAGCCATGAGCATGTCCTCGGCCTCATCGGTGTGTTGAGGGCTTCCCATTCCTTGGCCTGGAGGCTCGCCACTTCCTCCTACAGCTGCGACACTTTGGCAGCAAGCCCCCAGACCTCCCTATCACAATAGAGGACTAGGGACTTCTCCCGGCTATGCATTGCAAGGGACTACGAAAAACTATGGTTAGAATCATATAAACAAGGCTCGAAAGTAGAAAACGTGAAGACATGGCAAACCTGGATGGCTGGGGTGATGTCATCCTTCAGCACCCCCAATGCATCGGTCAGGGAGTGGACTACGGACTCAAGTCCTAAGCGCACGCTCGTCCAGTCCTTCTCCTCCACTGGGTCATCGAGGGTGACCACCGAGTCGCTCGGGTCCAGCCGCCTGGCCCATCGGAGTCGACCTCCTCCCCATGCGAGCGAATCGTCGCCTAGCCAGACAAGGGACTAGGAGGACCCAGCCCCAACCGAGGGGTCGACTGTGGCAACCGTCGGTGTTGGCCCGACATGGGTCGACAGCACCCCCTCCGTCACCGGCGCTCCCTCAGGAGTGGACCCTCCGGTGACTGAGGAGGCTGGCAGCTCGGGCTCCAAAGTCCGAGCCGTCACTGCTTCCGCAGGGGACGCCTCGGTCATGCCTCCTCCCGTCTGCCCCACCTCGGGCGCATCGACCGGTGCAGGCGCTGATTCCACGGGTGCCTCCCTCAGCACAATATCCGGCTCAGACACGCAATATACAAATTTATTAGCCGGTGTGTGTAAACACTTTCCAAATAATAATTTAGAGGGTGGGTCTAAGAAAGAGTCTTAGAGATGCTCTAAACTGCTTATAGCCAAAATAAGTTGAGACTAGGGATGAAAATAAACCGGGTCTAACGGGATAAATCCTCTCAGATTTTGACTTTTACATTTTATAACGGAAATGAAAAGAAATTGGGCTGGCCCAAAATGGAACGAAAATAGGATTGACCATAAATAAAAAATGAATAAATTTGAACGAAAACATGTTGAAACGACTGGGATACGAAAAGACAAAATGGGAATATCGACACATAGACCAAGAAACATGACTTCAAATAATTCTAGTTTATATTGTAAGGTTCCGGTTCGCTGGTCTGAAACTGGCTGAAAAACACTGTTGTGGCTGAAATGTTGTAGAGAAAAACACTGTTCCGACTAAACAAAAAGAAGCCGAACAAGCCAAATTTCAGACCAGCCAAACGAGGCCGATAAGAGTATAAGATTGCAAGACTGTAAATCTATAACACAGCAACAGCAAGCCAACCATTAGGCCCTGTTTGGTTGAAATCATGGTACGTGGGAAAAAAAACTAACGTAAATTTGTGAGTTGTGTGAAAAGCTGCTAGCAAGCATGAGAGTCAAAAAGCTGAAAGCTATTTGGTTAAACAAGTATAAAATATACTTTTTATCTTTATCTCTCTTGAAACAACTATGGAAGAGCTTTTTATTCCACCAATTTCAAAAGCAAAGCCAAAAGCCAAAAGCAGGGTCAACCCAGCTTTCAAAAATAAACTACGGAAAAACAGCTGCTTCTGAAAAAGCACCCTCCAAAAGCAGTCCCTTTAGTTGGATTTTTGGCTTTTGAGACCAAAAGCCAAAGCCAAAAGCCCAACCAAACATGGCCTTAATCTAGCATAGACAGTGCTACTACGGTGTGGCATGTCCGGATGTGTCGCATTATTGCACTTCCCAAGATGGGATATCCTGTGCGGACAAAAATGAGATATCTTGGCAAAAAAACAGGAAATGCAAAAATGGTTGAAAAAACAACTATATTGTTTTCTTTATTAAAAATGAAAAATCAAAAAATGTCTAAATGACGGTCAACACGAATTTGAGTGGGTTAAATATAGAAATCGAGACGGAACATAATAGATTTATCCCGACCATTCTCACCCCTAGCTGAGACTAAAGCCTCGTTTAGCACAACTTCTCTGGTAGCTTCACGAGCGATGAACTTTGAAGTTGTTTTATGGCAAAATAGTCGTTTTGGTCCCTGAACTATTACTCAAAGCTCAATTTTATACCTCAACTTTTAAAATTGCCGTTTTAGTCTTCAAACTCTACTTTTAGACTCAGTTTTATCATAGAACTATGAAGATGATCGTTTCAGTCCTCAAACTTTGTATTTTGGGCTTAATTTCATCCAAAGTGTATTTCTATCTTTTAACTTTTATTTTCAACTCAATTTTGTATATAGTCCTACATGGAACATTACTGTTGCACCTGGGCACCTCCAACACCACCGACGATTGGAGATAGAAAAATAATATTCATCCAAAACCTCTTTAGTGGCCATTAATAATTTTAATTTGTTATTTTTAATGTTACCTTGTAATGGTAACGTCTACCGACGAAATGATTTTTGTGGAAGCAATTACAATTGCTTTGAACACCAGAATAAATGGATATATTGAAACAATAGCGGATCTATAATTTTTTCTTAGCTACTTCTAAAGAGTTAGGCTCAACTAATAACCATTTATGTATAAATAATATTTTTTATTCATATGCTAAAATAATTCATATTTAAGAATATTTAGATCTATATTTATATTCATCTTAGATTATGAATATAAATATTGAAAGTGTGCTATCTTATTTGGTAGTTGAGATGATGCTAGGGAGTAGGGACAATGGTACCTAATGATGACTGCCCATCTCAAATCTTGGGTGTGGTGCTGGAGAAAGGACGAAGTTGAGCCAAATGCATTTTGATAATTTATGGATAAAATTGTGTAGAAAATATAAACTTTTCTTTTTATAGATAAAGCTGAGTTGAAAATAATAAAAGTCTAAAGATCGAAATGCACTCTGATAACTTATAGATGAAATTGAGCCTAAAATGCCAAGTTTGAGGACTAAAATGTTTATCTTCATAGTTCTGGATGAAATCGAGCCTAAAAGTAGAATTTAGGGACTAAACCAGTCATTTTGAAAGTTCGAGGATGAAACTGAGCCTTGAGTAATCGTTGAGAGACCAAATGGGCTATTCTAACTTGTTTTTTGCTAAATGTGCATTTTTCAAACGGCTTCACATGTAGAGCTTCTTAAAACATGCTCTCACAAATAGATTGGTGTGGGATGAAGCCTAAAACGGCTCCAACTCACTCTAGTGGGGCTAAGAGCATGTTTTAAAAAGTTTTACATATAGAGTTGTTTTATCAAATGGCTCATAAAAACCTAATGGTTCATCAAAACAACTGCTGGCGGAGCTAAAGCAAAAAAAATGCACCACTAGTTAAGCTCAGTTGTGCCAAACAGGACCTAAAAGTCAAATGATACACTTTTTTACATCCTTTAGTGGTCACACTTTTCCCTACAACACCCATTTATACTAAAACATAGAAGCTGGATCAAACCATCTTATTTTTAACCATGCTTTTGCTTTATTTGAAAAGCTTCTTAGGGCCTATTTGGGATAGCTCCATCAGCGCTAGATCCATCAAAGCAGCTCCACTCCACGAAAAGTTACCCAAACAGTCTAACTCTACGAAATCCGTATTCAAAACAGTGGATTTAGGGGCCAGATTCACCATTTTGGTGGAGTTCCTCGAGAGGTGCTCCACCAAACTCAAATTAGTAGAGTTGGAGAAAATTACCCACCACTGCCACCAGTTACACACCCTACGTACCGTTTGGTTTCTATTCTCCTCTTCTCCACTCGACCGACTAGGGAAAAAACATCGGCTATCTTCTCCACGCCTCCTGCTTCCGCGCCACCACCTCTAGCCACCGGGGCACCTCCTCCCTTCGACACCCCTCCCCAGTGAGGCTACGCCAGACCGGACCTTGTGCCCCTTCTCCGCCCATCGCGCGACCCTCCCTAGCAAGGCCACGCGCCCACCTAGCCCCACGCACCCTTCAAGGCCACGCAACCACCCGACGAGGCGAGGCCACGCCCACCCGGCCCCGCGCGCCCCTCTTCGGTGGTTCCAAACCCCTCATCACTGTCGGCTTTGGCCCCTCAGCGGTGAAAGTGCATCTTGCAAGCGTATCTTTCAAGTGTTTCAGATGTTTCATATGCATGTTGCAAGTGCTACATGTGAATGTTGCAAAAGTAGATTGGGATGTTACATATATTGCAATGCTATACACGTATGTTGCAATGTTGTACACGTATGTTGCAGCGTCCGTTCTAAATGTTTTAGCTGTTTCAGACGGATGTTGCACGTGTTTTATTTAGGTGCTGCATATGTTTCACACAAATGTTTCCACTAGCTGCTGTTGCAGAAGTCGATCTGGTGTTGCACATGTTGCAATGGACCCCATCTGTAGCAACCGCCTGCAGCAGCTGCTTGGCCCACCTGCATGGGTGTGGGTGTGGACGGGGCGCGAGCGGCAGGCACGGGAATCTATGCGGGCGTAGATCGAGACTAAAGCGGGCGTGGGACATGAAACAGCACGAGACACGACGCGGACATGGGACACGGAGCGGCGTGGGACCTCATGTGAAGCAGACGTGCGGCGCAGGTGTCTAGACACTAGCCCCCGTCCGGGACGTCCGGGCTCTAGCCTTTCCCCTATTTCTTTCCTTTGTTTTCTCTCCTCTCTGGGTTTTACATTCCTCTATTTCAATGCAAGCAGGCTCGGTGTAAAATAAACTTACACCATTAAAGTGAATTGATATTTCGTAGACGTAGTATTTTACACATAAGTGGATGATATATATACTAGTCAGCACAACACTACAAAATACGTCATAGTGCGTATGCTTACTTTCTGCATTTTCGTAGCTTAGAATGCTAATTACCACCTAACAACTAGTATTAGAAACGAGTACAAGCCGTATATATGTATAGAATTCAAATTCACCGAAACGAGATAATAATGCCACTACTAGCTAGACGGGTCTGTGTGACGCGGCATGTACAATTGCATCGGCTATGATCTTGTAGGCTCTCTGTGATGGATGGACCGCATCAAAGAAGACGTATTTATCCGCATCCTCGCATGTGAGCGCATTGTCCAAGCTGCACAGCACTCCTGTCTCGAAGTATCCCGTGCCGCAGCATCCTCGCACTGCATTCTCAAAACCATACGCCCATGGCCTGGTGATCATGTCCGCCAAGAGACGGTAAACGTCGACGTACACGACCTGCGCCCCCGGCAGGTCCCGGCTGAGCCTGCTCGCCATTGCTCGGAGCCCGCGGTTGAATCTGCGCGCCACCATGTTGTGCCACCTGTTGCAGTCCCCAGGCCGCGCGAGGTTGACGGTCCGCTGCAGCGGCAGGCACCCCAGCGGCGGCAGCCCCGGGAGGCGGACCCGCCGAGCGCCGAGCGCGTACACGGCGCGGACCGCCGCCTCGGCCGCGCCGACCAGGTACGCCTCGTACTCCAGTAGGGTGAAGCGGCCGCGCCTGACGGGGAAGAGGAGGTAGTTGCCCAGGAAGTCGCTGGCGCCGACGCTGAAGAGGTAGAGTGAACGGGCGACGATGTGGTCTGCGGCGGCGCCGCCCAGCTCGCGCCGGAGCTTCTCTTTGTACTCCTTGAAGTGCTCTATCTGCTGAGTCAGGGTCACTGCCGACTGCATGCCGGAAATTAATTAAAGTTACGTGATTTTTTATAATACTATATAGTAATGGAAAAAACAACTAATTTGAATTGTATTGTTAAAAATTGGATTGGAAACTCACAAAGATTTGCGCAGTTATATCGTCGAACCCACTCCCAGCCGAGGCGAAGCTGACACCCGACGCGAGCTGGTGGATGCCGTGGCCAGGGTCGAGGTACGCCGGCACAGCGGGAGACAGGCCGAGCCCCTGGGAGACGAAGTCAGCGGCGAGGCGGCCGTTGGAGAAGCGGCCGGTGGCAACCCCGCCGGCGAAGTCCCGGCCGTAAGGCGTGTAGTTGCCCCGGAGGAGTGTCTGGATGAAGTTGTTGTTGCCGGTGTCCGCGGTCGAGTCGCCGAACACGATCACCGCCGGGACCCTGTCTGCTGCGGCGCCGCGGAGGAGTTGTAATAGCAGCTGCAGCACGAGGAACATGTCCAGGAACACCTTCCTCATGCCCAGGAGAAGGGACGACATCGTGCGTGCTATGCTACCTATGCTCCAACATGAATTAAGTCCTTTGCGGATGGTTGTTACCCATTTGTGGTGGATTTATAGCTTTGTCCTCGCAGTGCAAGGAACCGAGGACAATTATAGGTCCACAAGTTCGTCGGCCCGGTGCTTCGATTTTGGTTGGAACAGCTTAGGCCGGCACGGCAAATGATGGGACGGTGGCCGTGCTTCTTGTTCATCCATCTCCCACTCACAGGTCACAGGCTGTGGCGCGGGCGGCTGCTGCATGCACGCTCTCTGCTGCTGACTTCTCTGTGCATTTATTTGATCCGAATTCTTGGTGCAACCCATCGCTTACAAATAGTCTTCAAGACGGACCTGCTGGCTGCTACAGTGGGTGTACTTTATACATGTCCAATATAGGGCCGGGCAACGGGGGTACGAGTCACGGCCTGTTAAGGTCCGGCCCGAGAATGACACAGCTCGAAGAGGCTCACGCCCATGCCGGCTCGGCCTATGACCTAGTGCCTTGCCACACCTACGATAGGCTAGGCTGGCACGAGCACATCCCGACAAGGGGGTTGGCCGGCTAAGGCCCGTCCCAACGGTCTCAAGGCCTGGGCACAGCTGCCGAACGTTAGCACGAGCGCTTGACGCCCACCATCCTCCCCATGACCCTCTACTCATTCGCATCGTTGTGGCTCTCCTCCTCGCCCTCTCGGATCTCGATCTCCCTCTCATGTCCGGATACTCCCTAACAATGTTGTAATCTAAATGGACTAAAGAATGGGAATGGATCCACTAACACATAAATAACTCATCCAAAAGCACAAAAGTTCACGTACCAATCTCTCTTCTCACCACTAACATTTTTTTTATTTCTTATGGGTAGTCCATAGCCTTATGAGTGTCTTTCTCTGTGGACCAGTTCCGTAATGTTTCGGCTAGTCTCAATGAAATATTTTAAGTCCATAAACTGCTTTCTGAGCACATTGTGGTTGCTCCAAAACCTTATCCTAGAACTTGTTGCTCAATAGTACTAGATTATAGAATTTCTTGTCCATAGTTTCCTTTGACCACTTAATGTCCTCCTAATGATTTTAAAATAGGAGAAAATGAATTAATTATGTATTTTGTGAGCATTTAAATCTAGGAAAACAATAACTTTATAAAAAATAAAATTGAATATAGGTCTACATACGTGTGTGTGCATCCATGTTTCTGCATGTTTACTTTGTGATGCTTTGGTTTGATTGGAATTTACAAAAGAATTTGAATTTGAGTTTAAATTGGATTTGAAATTGTGATAAGAAAATAGAAAATGAGTTTTATTTTTCTTTTCTCCCTCCCTTGCTTTCGGCCTGTTGTCCCAGCTTCCGCTCGGCCTGGCTTCCTGCGCGGCCCGCTTTCCCCGCGCGGCCTGCCCTCTCTCCCGCTTCGGCCCGCCCCGCAGGCCCAGTTTACCGTGCCCCGTGGCCCAGCAAGCAAGCCGCGCACGCCATCTTCCCGGCCCAGCCGAAGGCCTGCGAAGCTGCATCTGCACTCCCTCTCTCTCGCTGACATCGCGGCCCGTGCCTCCTATCCCACTAACAGCCGGGCCCGCTCGTCAGATGCGCCTCCTCCCTCCGCTCATGTCTGAGCCGGACACTAAGAGCCCGTGTCCGCGCCATCTACGCCGCTTGGCGTGCTGTCCACGCACGCCCCGCTCTTAAATAGCCCCCCAAGCCACGCCGCCTCCACCTAATCCTAGAGCAAGCCGCCGCCCTCGCTTAAGCTTGTAGCGTCGCGGAACCCTAGCATCTCGCGCCGCCGCTGACATCATCTGCCATTCCGCGCACGCGTCATCATCGGACCACTCCTCACCGATGAAAACCCCCTAAGTGAGTTCGCCATCTTCCCCGCCACCTCCCAGTGCCTTCGGTTTGTTTTCCGGTGCTCCGTAGGCCCTAAACCGCGAACACCAGTGAGCGTCTCGCCGCCGTTCATGGCCGCCGCCGCGTCGGTTTCTTCTTCGGCGACAGCACTCTCTCTCTCCCCCTTCCGATCCAATCCATGCCATCTAATCCCGATCCGACGGCCCAGATTCAAAGATACCCCTTCGCCTGGCTTATTTGCTAAAGATACCCTAGACTTTTGTGTATTAGAACCCGCGGTCCAAAGTGTATTCCTAGAATGCGTTTTCTTCTTTTGAAGGCGTAGTTTCCTTTGGATTAGATTGAAAATACGTTTTCATCTATTTACAGTTTTGTCACTAGTTTCTATAGGCCATAACTTTCACGTTTTAGCTCCAATTTGATCCGTTCAAGTTGTGTTAGGATCGCAATTGCGTAATCTACATGTTCATACTACTGTTAAGTATGTTTTCAACATTTAAAATTCGAGGTTAGATTTAATCTATTATTTTGTTAAATGAAATCTTGTTTAATTCATAACTTCTTCGTTTTAGCTCTGATTTTTGTGATCTTCGCGTCTCTGGTATCTTAGCGAGATGTAGATTCGTTTTACAAACTTTTCAACTTAATTTTATGCTGATTGGTGTACTGTTCTAATCTATAGCTTTTGTTTGCTATGCATGATTGCTTCTGGATGATTGTATGTTGCTATGATTATCGAGTATAGACGATGAGCAATTCGTGGTTGATCAAGAGTACTACTTTGACGAGCAGGATCAGTAGGAGCACTTTGTTCAAGGCAAGTATAGCTTGGGATTATCCTTGTTTTCTAACAACTTTAATACAATTAATTCATGTTGCATGTGTCACCTTGATAGGGATTCCCTAGAATTGAACCTATACATTGTCTCCTATGGGATATGCATTGGGTAGCTTTGCTAGTGCTCAATTAAACCATAACATTGTAACTTGACTAATGGTATATGCAATAAACATTAAAATATGACTTTTTAGCAACTTAGAAATAGGGGCTAGAATATTTAGCTACTTTCTAAATGCTTTAGATTCCTTTCTCTACGGACTTATCTGTAAGTGATCATCCGGGCTTACAGTACAGTTGTGAGGGCTACATGGCTCTGACTTGAGCTCAGTACAAGGACCTTTTCTACCTTGTTAGAGGTTACCTTTATGGCGCAAGAGGGGTGTGTTTCAGGTTGGATATAGTGTGGCCTCTTTCCGTCAGTGTATAGGTTGCGCGTCATTGTGCCTGTCGGAAGGGGAGCCCTACATTCGCAGGGCACAGAAACCTAGCGGCCCTAACTTGTGAGATGAACCTTTGAAAGGCTTCATAGTGAACCCTGCCTGCTCACCTTGGAAGTGTTTTGGGAGTTATAAACCTAGAGATATGGGTATCACGGCTCACAGTGAAAGTGTACAACCTCTGTAGAGTGTAAAACTGGTATATCAGCCGTGCTCATGGTCACGAGCGGCTTTGGAACCCTTATGGAATAGATGATCACTAAGAATTATCCGTTTATGCTATTCATTATTCATGTTTACATTGATCATGTGTTTTACTTTGGGATTGAAACAACTTGTTGCTACTCTTATGCTAAAATGGTGACAACTAAAAGCTAAACGCTTTTAAACCTATGTCAAGCCTTTTGAGCCTCATGAACCCCATGTTACACTTGTTGAGTACGACATGTACTTACGCTTGTTTATTTTTATTATTTGGATAAAACCCCGGATGGGTAACAGATGGCTATGGTAATGATGACTTTCCTAAGGATTACCAGACTTGTGGTCAACTAGTTGACGTCCCTGTGATATGGAGCTTCCACGAGAGATTTTTCCTTATACTTTCGCTATATTTATGTGAAGACTATGTTTTATTATTCGTGATATAATAAATACTTGTGATGGTACTATTTATAATTTATCGGCTTATATGTGTGACTGATCTCTAGGCGCACATAAGATTTTGCATCCCATTTTATCCTTAAAATCGGGTGTGACAGATTGGTATCAGAGCCATGTTGACTGTAGGACGCAAGCCTAGTTAGCAATGGTCGTCTTAGCTTCGTTTGCTTCACTTATTTCATGCTTCCCATCTCACCCTTGTTATTTGCTAAATTTTATGCTTCTTTTGCCTCACTCTGTTATGAAAATTATTGCTTCTAATCTGACTAAATCTAATTCTGTAGATGCCTCGTGCCAATAAGATCGCTCGCATCAGCACTGTTGGCTACTACCCACCTCGTGGCTTGTATGAGTCCATGGAGCCACATGAGGAGGAGGAACCCCAGGAGCAAGAAGTTGACTCGCCAGCACCTGCACCTACGCCGAGCTATTCTAGGAAGAGCCTAAAGAAGAAGAATCCGAAGAAGTGGAGGTCGTTGTATTGTCTGATGATGATAAGGAGGACGTCGGTCAAGAAGTTTAGCCTACCCCTGCCATGGGATGGACTACAAAGATCTGGTATAAGTCGGGGTGTAAATCCTCTATTTCGCACCACCAATTTATGGGGATTCTTTAGACCTACTACGCTGATTGGGATGTATATGTCTGCAACGAGCATACGCACCCTCTAGAGGGCACTTATTGGAAGACCAGGGTGTGCGTCTCCATCTAGGATGGAGAGAAGGAAGCATACCAGCTGGACTTAAACTATGCGCATCATGCTCACTGTGCCACCATGGAAGATAGCATAGAAGATGCTGTCGCTGTAGCCTGCATGGGTCTCCGTGGTTGTCGCTTTGATGATATGAAGGAAGATCAATATCGCTTCCTCCCTCATCAACACCCTGACTTGGGATGGGCAATAATGGACCCTGAAGGCACGGATCCCACTACTCAAGTGATGGTGCACTATGCCTATAAATTAGTAGACAAGAATTGACAGCTGGAAGATCAGTTGAAGGCACAGGAGGTGACCCTTAAGAGATACCAACAAGTGATAGATGAGCAAAGGGTGTGCCTCAACCTGCCAAAGATCTATGAGGAGCTTCCCCATGAATTTCTCCCATAGGTGTTGGAGTTCCTTTCTATGTAATATGACGTTAGTAGCACGGGTCAAGTTGAGTCAAGTCGAGTCTAGTAGTGCGGTGTGAACTTTAGTGTGCCTAGTTG